GATCCACCGTTTTCATTTCAGCTGTCAAAGTTGATGACTACTTTTATCTGCGACTATTTGAACTCAAAGAACCGTTGTTAAAAAAATAAAATTGAAGAATTTCGGTAGCTGTGTTGCTGTAATACATTTTTATTAACATTGTCAAGTTCAACAAGTGTCGCATTTAAAAATAAGTTCATTGCAAACAGCCAAATTCTACGGTTTTGACTTTTTTTCAAAAGAAATGGGAGATGCAAATAAGCTCTGATATAGGGAGGATTTAACTCTACTGACTATCATGTTTCTGCTTCATTGTCTTTGTCTCCAGGCAGCATGAAACATGTCAAATACCAGCTCATATGAAAGAATGACCACTTGCCCAACTGAGAAACTGTTCCTGATAATTTCTTTCTAATTTTCTGTCACAGATGTACAGTTTTTTTCCCTCTTCCTCTTTTGGCAAACAACCGGTTTTGTTTCTATCTTCTTCTAGTCAGTTAAAGCGTAATGTAGTCCTACCACTACTTTCTGCGACGCCATGCAGCCTAGTTTATTTGCTCAAAGGCAGCTGATGTAAACAAGTGGAATTTTCATTTTTTTTTTTTTGTTTTTTTTTTTTTGCGACATTTTAAACATTTGCTTTAAATTTGCACAGACTTGTCTGGAAATATGGCTCATGTAAAGATATGTAGTCTACAATGATGTCAACAGCTGTCGGCTTTGTATAGAGGCATTGCACTAAAGCAAAACCTACATGAAAATACTTCACATTAGCGATGAACATTTATATGGGAATATTTTAAAAGATAATTAATATGCAAGCCATCATTTTGTCAGTGGATACTTTTTGCAAGGGTGGGTCTTTGTAACATTAATTGACTTCTGGATGTTCTTGGCTTACCGAATGTGGAATAATTATGCATATGTAGCTGTGGATGTATTCAGCAGAACTGGATACTGGAATGAGGGCTGCCATCTGGCCAAAGATGGCAGCCTCTCACTTGAATGAAAACTACGTGCCTGGCACAAGAGCCCAAAGACTTTTCTAGCTTCCACGATGTTCGTGAGTGTTTTTTGCTCAGCAGTGATGAAAATGACTGTCACTCGCTTGCAAATATAAAACTGTCGTGGATGAAAAATTCAGAATAAAGTACAAACTAACTTTATTTGCAGTTTGATGGCGTCTTGTCCACAGTTTTAGGCCACTTGCAGGAAAAGCTTTTGGGGCCGCAGGGCTTTTTTTTGTTTGTTTTTTTTATGCAATATTATGAGAGTCCACTGGGAAAAATTGGCAGCAAGGCTGAGTACTGGCATGATGTTCATAGACGGTATATTAAGGTGGATAAAACCGCCATGATGTCACCTAAACGTCTCCTGAACAGAGGTTTTAGAGCTCAGTGTGGTGGTTCTGGCTGCTGACATCTTGGCAGTACCTGACTGCTCCTGACTCCTGACTAATCCAAAAATGGGCAAAGATGTGAAACGGGAGTGGAGCTGAGGCAGACCATGCCTTGAACTATTCTGTGATGGCACCTACCTGTCACTCAAAGTAGCCAATCAAGCTCAAAACCGTTAAACAGGTGAGATATATGAAAATCTCCATCTTGTATACTTGTCTCCAACAGGAAATAAGCTACAGACACTAACACTGCTCACTGGACCAGGCTGTAAACAAGTTTATTCCAACTTTAAAGTCAAGCATTTTAACACGAGGGTCGATGGGGATTGGCTTACAGTTTGAGCCTCAAGTGGCCATTTGAGGAACTGCAGGTTTTGACGCTTCATGTTGGCTCCATTATTCAGCCCTGTAGGTTGCCACTTGGCAGTATTAAGCTCTCTGTATACTTTCATGGTTTCTACTCGTCCACTTGATTTTTCTGTTCTTTTTGCCCCAAACGAACACGCTCTGAGATGAGGTTAATCACTCAAGCGTAAAGTAAACAAAGCATGAAGGAATCGCGTCTTTTCTTCTTGTCTTTGTCGCCAGCCGCCTGTTGTCAAAGATAACTGCTCTCGTCTCAGCCGTAACTCTTAGCTCAGAAGAGTCTGTTAAGTTATTCACTGTGCTGACTTTTCGCCACTCTTTTCTGTTCTCCAAAAAAAAAAAAAAGCGCTTGAGGCTGACACCAGTGTCAGAGCAGCAATATGTGCATGTGCATACATACACATGGACCCACACACCACCCACCACACCGCAAGCTGTGAGCACCTCGACCGCCAGCTCCAACTGTGAGAGTATTTCACAGCTCTGACGAGGGCTATAATGTGCAATATGTTCACTAATTCGTTCGCTCTCTTCGTCTTTTTTCGCCCTTAATCTCTCTACCCCTCTCTCCCTCCCTACGTCTGTCACCGTGGCATCTGTTGGTGTCCTTTTAGCTACTGTGGATTCAATCTGTCCAAAAGGCCCACTCTGCTGCCACTCTGTTGCCATCTCCCGGTGATCCATTTGTGCTTTACAGTCGGATTGGAGGCCGCTCGGAGACTAAGTCCTTAATTACCACTAGAGTAAAGAGCATTAAAGGTTCCGAGTGGTGTGGATGAGATGCCTCGGCAGCATCTGTTGAACTCTGTGGATTTAGTGGATGTCTGGTGAGAAACGGTGGGTTTGGCTCCAGAGGTAGCTACTGAAAATGGGGTGAATGAATAGAAAGACATAGTTTCTTCCTTTACTTTCCATTTTATCTCCAGTAAATCATAACATGAGACTTGTTGGAATTGAAAGCTTGTTTACAGCACAAAGCTGAAACAGGAAGCTGTCGTCTCACTGCAAAGGGAGCTTAAGCTTTCAGAGAGTCTCCAAATGGCAGATGGTGGAGGAAATGAAAAACTGATGTAAAAACGGTGTCCAACATGTTCATCCACTTCAGTGAAGCCAGACAGAGAAAACAATCAGAGCGCTTGTGCTGGGACAAGTGTCAACATTCTCTTTGATTATGGGAAACGCTGGCAAAAAGAACATCTGACTACCTATGACACCAGTGAGTCACAAGTCATTTGATTGCGGTTATTTTGATGCTAAAGTCAACAATTCCATAATAAAAAATATTTAAATTTGCAGGTTTGGCAGTTGTTTTTTTTAAGACTAGCAGTTACTCTGCTTGACTAGATAATGTCAGTGGAGCAATTGTAAATCTGCAGGTAAAGTAGGACACAGGTTCTCTTTGCTTAGATCTAATCATACTCATACTGGTGCCATTGTTATATTGGGCCACTTTTCCTTGTTGCTATGTCATCCGATGCATGTTTATCCATTTTTATTTTTTTCACTTTAAACTATCATTTCACTGTCATCTCTCAGCTACAGAGGTCAGGTAGTGCCTTCAGTTACATAGATTGCAAAACCCTTTGAGGCAAATGAGGGATCTTGGGACCATGCAAAAAAAAAACTGACTTCAACAATTAAAATAATGATGGAACAAGAAAAGAGAATGAAATGGAGGCCAGATTAGGTTAATCTACATTGTGTCACAGGGGACTGGAGCCTGTACCAGCTCACGTTTGGTGAAAGACACAATTCACCGTGAGCAGGTCATCAGTCCATGACAGGGCTAACACAAAGAGACAGACAACCGTGCATTCTCACACTAACGCTTTACAGCCAATTTAGAATCACCAATTAACTCATCGTATGTGTCCTTGACCTGTGGGAGGACAAGCATGACAGGACACCCAGAGAACACCCACGCAGGCACATGGAGAACATGCAAACCCAGAGTCATCAAAGCAGCTCCGCTGCATCACTGTGCATGAAGTCATTACAGTATAGTGTACACTTGCTTACAGCATGTTACAGTCACTTATACAGAAGAAACACATACGAGGTGTGTCAGACCAGTTTCAGGACTGGTGTCACAAAAGATATATTTCAAATACAAACTACAAACTACAAGTTTTCCCCTTTGAAGTAATCCTCCTGGAGTCTAACACACTTCTCCAGTCCTCTCTTCACGCCGTCATGCACTCCTGGAAGGATTCTTCCAGGATCCTCCTCAGCTCCGTCGTCACAGCCATCTTGATGCCGTCCACGTCTTCTAAACGGGTCCCCTTGATGACCCCCTTGGGCTTGGGGAAGAGGAAACAATCCCACAGAGCCAGGTGGGGTGAGTGGGGAGGTTGCTCCAGCACGGAGATGTTCTTCTCAGCCAGGAACTGTGGGATGCTCAGGGCGTTGTCATGGTGAAGCAGCCACGACTGGTCCTGACACAACTCTCGCCTCTTCTGAACGAAGCAAACGACGCAGGATCTCTTTGTAGACGTGCTGGTTGATCATCTGAAGGGGAAAACTCGTAGTTTGTAGTTTGAAATATATCGTTTGTGACACCAGTCCTGGAACTTTTCTGACACCTCGTAATGCATTCATGCTGTTGGTGTCACAACACACCAAGGGCAACGTTTGATGTTTTGTATGTTAAATCTGCTCTAAACTCCAAAAACACTAATCTGATGTAAATTAGGCCAATAGTAATACAATAGGATGATTAATCAATAGAAACTATAAAGCTTCGGTCTCTTCGGTCAACTTAACCTTTATGTGATGACGATAGAAACAGTAAATCTTCTGTAAATGTCCGTATAGATCCTCCAGCATGCACTGTTCTGTTTTGTACTGGGTGAACACCACATGTCTACACTAATGTGTGCAGACTACACTCACTACAAAATTGAGGCTTCTCTCTTTAAATGGCTCTTAAATCATGGCTATCAGCTTTAATTTATTTAGTAATCTTGGTAATATGTATAGATCTACATAGCATATAACACTTGTAAGTATTTTTTTTTCTCTTGCTCAGTCTAATATTAACCAACACACTGTATGCTAGTGTTTGAAACTTCCCCGTGGTGATGCTGAGAGCGCGTTTGAACGGTAAGTCGACCTTCACGGCAATCTCCCGCAAACTCACTGTGTTACCTGAGCTGGATTAGCGACGCGGAATATCACACAGCAAAGTTTAACCTGGGAAGTCGGTCTCCGCAGATTGTGTCTAGTAGAAAATTAAGGGAGCGATTGTGTTTTTCAGGACTTTGCCGATTCAATATTCCACTTGGTGAGGGAGAAGTACCGGTCGCTGGTGGGCGGCTGCAGTCCTGCGCACGCTCGACACAAATCCCTGGCAGGCATCGTAATGACCCGAGGTATGGCAAATTTCATTGACTTTTATATATCACTTTGAATTATTGAAGTGGTGCAATATAGAGAGAGCGAGTGAAGGGGGTAAAAAAAGAGAGGGAGAGGACAAGAAAGGGGATGGGAAAGGAATGCTAGATTGAGAGAGAAATGATAAACTGGGGGTGGGAGGAGAGAGAGAAAGAGAGAGAGTCTCCACTTCATGCTGTACCTTGCGCTCTTGCAGGAGTGTATACCTTCCTGATGAATTATTGACTATTCAGAGTCTCTGAGGAGAATGAGACATGGTAGTGAGTGTCAGTCATCCCCACTGCATGCTGGACTTGCAGTGCTCAGGCAGCTTTGACAGGAGTTCCAGATGCCACAGTGGGAATCTTAACTAGATCAGCTTAATCTGAAACCTGACTGAGTGACACAGTGAAGGGACAGTGAGGAGGAGGAGGAGGAGGAAGGTTTCGCTCTGCTGTTCTCCTGCGGCATGAAACAATGACTTCCATTATTACACATTTACCTTTCATGCGTTGTCTTCCATGTGTGCTGTTTGTTGCATATTACATCTGAGCCTCCCACGCACACACACACACACATCCAGCACATGTGCGATCGCTGACACTTACGGATGCACACACACTCTCTCATATAACGTGTACTGAGGCACTTGTTCCCACTGTGACAAACTTACACCCCGAGATGATCTCACTTGAAATTTGTACAAAATGAGCTGTCAGGTTTTTGAATCTGCTCAGGGCAGGTTTTAGCCTGCTATATTAGGGTGGTAGAAATAATAAGTTGGCAAGTTGGGCAGCAGGTAGCCCAGAGGTTACAGAAGTGGACTCATAACTTGCAGATTGCTGGCTGGAGACCAGGTGCTGACATCTCCTCCTCGCTGATGTTATTGTTTTTGTACACGATCCTTCACAAAAACTAAGTGTAGTAAATAAAAACTTACAGTCATGGAAAAAATGATTACACCACCCTTGTTTTCTTCAACTTCTTGTTCACTTTACTGCCTGGTACAACTAAAGGTACATTTGTTTGGACAAATATAATGATAACAACAAAAATAGCTCATAAGAGTTTAGTTTCAGAGCTGATATCTTCCATGGTTTTCTTGATAATAACCAAAATCACTTAAGTTCTTTCATCAATATGGCACTGTCCTGCCAAAAACAGTGCTTTTAATTTTCTTTTCTATCTCTTGTAGTCACATGATACACAGGAGTTAGTACTTGATTGCGTAACCACTGTTGTTAATGACTGCAGCCATGTGTCTTGGCTGCTCTCCACCAGCTTCTGACATTGTTCTGCTGTCACAGCAGCCCATTCCTGTTCCACAAATTCAAACAAATTTGATTTGTTTTGGGGGCTTGTGGTTCTCCATTTTGCATTTGATGATTTTCCACAGGTTTTCCATTGAATCTAGATCTGGTGATTGAACAGGCCAAGGCATGGTTCCAATGTCCTGGTTCTCCATCCAGGCTTTAACTGACCTCACCGTGTGGCAAGGAGCTTTGTCTTGTTGCACAATCCAGTCATTGGAGGCAGGAAAGAGTTTTCCAGCTGATGGAAGAAGACTGTTTTCCAGAGTAGCCTGTACATGACCTGGTTCATTCCCCCTTCACACAATTGCATTTGCCCTGTTTCACCCAAACTGAAACAAGCCCAGATTGCCACTGATCCATCCCCATGTTTTACTGTAGGGGCAATACTGTCTGGTCTGTAGGCTTCTCCAGGCTTCCTCCTAACCAGTAAGTTGGCTGGAGTGGGCATCAACTGAACATTGGATTCATCACTGAAGAGAACATTAGCCCAACCATCAACAGTCCATCCCCAGCAAAGAGTAACTGGGCTTTCCTCTGCCTTTGGTTGATGGAGGGCTTCTTCCGTGTCCTGTGTGACTTCAGACCAGCTTCAAGAAGTCGGTTTCCAACTGTCCTTGCTGAACAAGTCACATTTCTCCACAGTGCCCACTCATTTTTAAAGTTCCTGGAGGTCTGACGACGATTCCTGACACAGGAACAGATGAGTGCTCGGTCATCTCGTGGGGTAGAAAGACGTTTCCTGCCACGACCAGCGAGCAATCTGGTTATACCGTGTTGGGCTTGTTTTTTCTTGGTGTAATGAACGGCTGTCTTGGAGATCTTCAGTTTTTTCGCTACCTGTCTCTCACTCATGCTAATTTCCAGCAGTGCCAAGATGGCTGCCGTTGTGGCTTCACATGATTATGTTGTTTTAGGTATTATGTGAGCGTTGACAACTTCTGAGTTGTGCTACAGCTTGAATGTAAACAGGAAACCACTCCAGGATCTTTGCATGATGACATGAAACGGCCTCTTATATACCTACAACTCAGCTTAAGCATGTCAGATAGGACATAAAGTATTATGTACTGTCGTGTTCATTGTATTCTTCAGGTTATTTACCTTTAGTGGTACCAGGCACTAAAATGAACAAGAAATTGAAGAAGACAAGGGTGGTCTGATCATTTTTCCATGACTGTAAGTTAAACTAACACTTAGGCCATGAGTTTGCTGTCATCTATAGATGAGTTAAAGCAGATGATGCATTTGATGGTGGTGGGATAAAACTAAAGCACATTTATTGAAACACTTAAGCAAAGGTCTCATGTTCTTGTTCTTTACTGCCTGTCCAGTGAAAACTGTGCGCCTCCTAATTTCAGATGTTTTTGTGTTAAACTGGAGGATGAACTGCTCCTTTATGAGAAAAGTCTCCTGCTTCTGAAACATATCGCTATAGATTATTCTACCCAGCAGTAGACTCTGTAAAAGGAGGCTGAATTTAGCTCAACCCGACACATCTACAGCAGTCAAAGGCAAAATACACATTAAAGCAGCAATAATGTTAATATGACATCAAACTCTTTAACATTATATAAAAAGTTTAGAATAGCTCAACCCTGAGCTCCTACAGCAGTAAAAGGCAGCATACACATTAATGAAGCAGCAATAATAAGAAACATCATATATATATATATATATTTAACCGCAAAACACAAATAGAGAACATTGTTCTACCGTACTTTAGTTTTCATACTTTAAGTACATGTTGCTGGTAACACTCATAGAGTTTTTCTTAACTTTAAAAGATCATTTTAAAGATTTTAAATGCAGGACTTTTTTCGTTCAAGAGCATGTTTTGTTCTCCACACTACTCGAAATATAAAAATCGCAAAATGACCAATATCCCAAATCACAGGAGCTGCAATGTTTGATAAAGGTCAAATTTGTCACAAAACACCAACTAACACCTCCACTTTGAGGCCTGGAGTTTGAACTTCGGCTGTCACTTTCTTGGTCTTTTGAAAGCCATACGTAACGAGCGAGAGGTGGAGCTGCCAGAGAACTCCAGGTCGGCCACACCCAAAAACATACCCTACTCTATTGTCTGTTTTACTTCAAAAGGGGCCATAATTTACAAAGCAAACAACATGACTGACTCCAACAACTGACTCCATAAACTCATGAGAAAAACGGTTAGTGAGCTTAGAGTACAAATGAGAATTAATCATTTTCTAATAGACCTCTGAGTAATCAGACTTATTTTTTGCAACCAGATGAGTCACCTCCTGCTGGCTGTTAGAAAGAATGCGGGTTTAAATCACCTCCACATCGACTTCATTTCCTAAACCCAGAGGCCATGTCCGTGTTCTATATGTAGTGTCTGGTTGGTACTTGTAGCACGTTATTAGCTGGTGTTGGATGCTCTTTGTCATGGTGAAGTAGCTGAGGAAGACTGTTTGTTGGACTACCCTGCACACTGTTGTTGCTAGTTGAGCGTGTTGGTAATCCAGCTGGTGATGCTACAGACACAAGTCGGTGTAGTTTCCTTCAGAGGACTGTGTTTATTGTGTGGGTGCAGGCAAGGAGGAGGATTGTTCCACGATGCTGGAATATCTTGTTGTCTTAGTCATGGTGCCCACCTGATGACCCTGTCGAGTTCACTGAGCCCTACGCTCTCACGCTCACTCACAACCTAATATTGGATCCATTTTCTTTCCTTTTTTTTTGCTGTGAAAGGGTTAGACGTATGTGCAGAATGTCTCCTTATACTGGAGGAATGGCTAATTAGTGGCTGTTTGAAGGACTAGAGATGATAGTTGGACAACAGAGCAGTAGTGAAGTAGTAAATATGGTACAGGGGGAAAGAGCAGGACATCTGTAACACTCAATGCTCAACCAACATTTCATTATTTCTATTAGTAACCAGTATTATCACCTTATTAAACTCCAAGAAATGAAACCAAACCAAGACAAACAACTTCAGCAGCAATATAATACAGAAACACACATAGTAGAAGCCATAATATGAAACACTGGGCCTTCAGTGTTTGTGGGCTGTAATATAAAATGACCGTACACAAACAAATGCACACACTCTACACATGTGGAGTGCTCACACACACACACACACACACACACACACTGAGCGGTGTTATCTCCCTGTGTGGCTGCAGGCTGTGGGGGGGTGCAGGGGTCAGTGAGAAGGGATTGGTATCTCTGCTGTCTTTGGAGTGCTGCAGCTCATCAGTTTAGACTTCAGTGAAACCGGCGCTCATCCTGACCTAATCCAATCCCCTCTCCTCTCCTCTGCCTCCCAGTAATTGCTTCTGTTTGTTTATTAATAGCACGCGTTATCTTCAAAGATCCAGACGTAGGGCTGCCAAGTATTCGCGGTGAGGCGGCGGCGGCGACAGCGGCGGCGGCGGCGGCGGTGTGGTGGTGTGGTGGTGGCCAGCGTCCGTGCAGTCAGACACCAAACTTGACAGGAACACTGGGGAGTCCTGTTCCACCAGGCCCCCACCCACCCTCTCATTCTGTCCCTCTCTGTGCGTCTCATGACTTTGCTTTTGCCTCGAGAATAATAATCAGGGTCCGTCTTTGAACCGTGGACAGACAGCGAACCCCCCCGCCCAACCCCCACCCTCGCTGGAGTCCTGCCGAGACAGTTGAGCCTCAACCTGAGTGAGATTAGCCTCGCCACCAGGCGG